ATCATTTTGAATTATGACCCTGTCCTCCAAAGCAGTTGCAATCCCTCCCAGTTTGGTATCATCTGCAATGTAGATATTAACTTATTCTTGACTGTGTGTCAGCTAATACAAACATTTCAGTTGAACAGTGAAAATACAGTTAATATGAAAATTAAACTCCTGTAAGAGTAGTGCTTAATTTGTAATGAAAAAGGTGCCGGGCTCAAGCAATTAGGTGCCAGGACTCAAGCAATTTTTTTACTTTCAGAACTGATGCGGCAAGCCAAGAAGTACTGGGGCTATTAACTGCCAAGCCTAGAGGTGTCGGGGCTCAGCCCTGGCGAGCCCCAGCACAAATTAAGCACTGTGTCAGAGTTAAAAAACAAACTGATATGACATTGATCTTTTAATTTCAATCAAAGCATAGTAGCCTTGAATCAGAGGGATCATTATGACTGAAAACTTTATAAAGTGTACGGGACGAATTTAGTTAGGCACAATAAAAACAGAAAGGTATGAAAACATTTTCTTTAAAAGATTCCTATTTGCAACTTCTAAAAGAATCAGTTGCTGTTTTCACTGACTTCTAACTGTGTGCTTTTTGAAAATTGAATAAAGAGCTCTCTTTTCCTTCAGCCTGGAGAGCACTTTCATATGGTATTATTGTGTCATGTTTAATTTGTTTTATGTTCTTCACCTACTGAATTGCAGCTTCATAAAGTGGTGTTTTATTATTTTCTCCCCCAGATCTATAAAAATAACTGTTTTAGTCATTTTTAAGGTGGCTGCTTTAATACTTTAATAGTCTTGAAGATGGAGGCTATTACATACACATACAAGTACCTGTTTATAACTTTTCTCTCTGCTAGTTCAGGTCTGTAATTTGAGTAGATATTTATATCTACTGAAAAGAAATACATAGATTCATAGATTCTAGGACTGGAAGGGACCTCGAGAGGTCATCGAGTCCAGTCCCCTGCCCGCATGGCAGGACCAAATACTGTCTAGACCATCTCTGATAGACATTTATCTAACCTACTCTTAAATATCTCCACAGATAAACATCAACAGATCAACCACCTATTTTCTATTTGGATGACTTTAAAAACAATTTCTCTTCTATTTTCCAGCAAATGTATCTATAAAAAAGAGGGACAATTAAATATATTGCAATGGTATTTCTATATTATTGAAGGTAGAGTGGCCCCGAGTACCTTGAATGGTCCCTTACAATATGTGCTAATTACTTATGCTAAACCAGTGCATCTTAACCTTTTTTTCATTTGCAACACCCTAAAAAATGTCAAATGAAAGTGTGGACGCCTTTTGAAATCTTAGACATACTCTGCGTACCCACAGAAGTGTGCAGACCACAGGCTGAAAATCACTTTTCTATGGTAACGACAACCTTTCGTGGACCCCTTAGACCAGGAGTTCTCAGGACAAATTTTTTGTCCTCAGAGTGCGGCCACCCAATCTTGCTGGTGGCCAATCTCACACTTTCCCCTAAAATACTTAATTAGCTTTAGGAAAAACAAGTAAATATGAACATATACATATCCAAATCATTGTAATTTATTTATTGTTAGCTAGTAAGTCTGTTGTGAAAAGTGATATTAACAAACATGCAAGTATCACTTTTCACAGCAGGCTTATTCAGCCCTGGCAAGCCTGGGGGACAAATTAAGCCCGGGATGGGGGGGTCTCGGGAGGCAGCAAGGGCAATGGGGGTAGATGGGGGGGGGCTAGGGGAGTCAGTGGAGGGCTAGAGCCTGAACCCCATGGCAAGAGCCTGGGGCCTGCCACCCCACGGCCAGACCTGGAGCCCGAAGCCCCTCAACCACAACCTGCCGTCCCACCACCCCAGAGCTGACGCCCAAATCCTGAGCCCCACTGCCCCGGGAAGGTGGGGAATTCACTGGCTGCCTGCTACTCCAGCGTTGTGCTCCAGGTGTCTCTAGAGGGGAGCAGAGCCCAACCCCTGCTGGTGGTCCCAGCAATCAACACCAAGGCAGAGCATCCAGGAGCAACAGGGAGGAGGAGGGGCCACTATTTTGCCACCCATGCCCACTCCATCACATCCACAAGAAAGCCACTTGTGGCCACAAGAAAAGCCCCTGATGGCCGCATTTGAGAAACGCTGCCTTAGACATATTCTGTGGACTCTCGGGGATCCAAAGACCACAGGTTGAAAACTACTGTGCTAAACAGTCTGTTACATCTTACATTTTGCTGTGACATGCAGAGTAGTTTTCCCAGACCCGCAGAAGAGTTCTATGTGGCTCAAAAGCTTGTCTTTCTCACCAATGGAAGTTAGTCCAATAAAAGATATTACCTCACCCACCTTGTCTCTCTAATATCCTGGAACCGACATGGCTACAGCTACACTGCATGCATTTCTGTAATACGTCACAAAATACTCCATTTTGGTTTGTAAACATGTTAGGAACATATCTCTGAGCAGAAAGAGAGAGTAACTAGGAGATGACCACTACTGAGACATTCCAGGCTTTCCACATAGACAAATAGGTTATACCTTAGAAGCAACTGGGAAGACAGGAGAAGGCCAGAATGAGATTGGAGCAGCTTTTATGAGTGAACTGCCCTCTGACTGGCTGGCCCTTTTAAAATGCAATGAAAGCTGGTTAAACCAGCCAGATGGAGAGAAAGCTGCTCATGGACTAAGGACCTGACTTGATGTGCCCAGTCCATTTGAGGGAAAATGGGATCTAAGTGTAAAGGATAGCCAGAAAACCAGCCGAAAAGGCCTAGATTAATCAACTATAACTATTCTTACCAGCAGTTCTGGATATATTTGTTCTGGTACTTCCTTTGTGTGACAATAAATTGTCACACAAAGGAAGTACCCCCTGATACTTAATAAATTGTCTGTGATGGTAAACAAAAAGCCCCGCTCTGTGGAATATTTTCACTGAAACCCAAAGGGCAGAAGTAGTGGATGTTTCTGCCCTCAAAATCTGATATTGTATGCAAAGTGATGCAGCAAAATGGCTTACATGACTTGATGTACCCCTTTCAGCACCAAAAAGAAATAGAAACATAGGCCCTGACCCTACAATCACTTACGCACAAGAAGAGTGCCACTGTCAGAGCTAGTCATGTGAATAAAGTTAAACACAAGTGAAAGTATTTATGGGATTGGGGCCTTCAAGACTGCACAGTGCCCAATGGGGCCCAGATTCCTAATTCTCTACAAGCTCCTACAAAGTAAATAGTAATGCTCTGCTTACACTTCACTGAGGAACCACTCCAAGAACTTAGCAAGAGTGGTGGTGGAACCTCCATTGCTGGAAAATTTTAAATTAAGATTGTTTTATAATAAATTATGCTTTAGTCAAAAGAGAATTAATTCAGAGACATCTCAGAGCCTATGTTCTGCAGCAGGTCAGACTAGCGAGCCACAATGGCCGCTTCTGACCCTATCATCTATGAATAGAGGTTTGCCAAAGTGATATTTCAAAGCCAACTGTTTCTACGTACAAAATCAGATTTTTTTAAAAAAGTGTTTATTTCTGACAGACAGCTCAAAACAGCTGAACAAATTTTGCTCCAACTGCCCCCGCACAGCGCAACGCTCAGTAAATCAGACAACATCGCGCAGGGCGCGCGCCAATTTATCCAGCCCCGTCCGCCTGTCAGAGAGCTCCGCCTCCCCTTCCCACGTGCGTTCGAAAGGCACAGCCTCACCCAGGGGCACGAGGAGAACACCGACCGTTGGGTAGCGGCCACGTGCCCCTGGACTGTCCCTTCCACAGGCCCTTCCTCACGCCCACATTCCACACTCCTCCCTCGCGCCACTTGAACTTCCGGTCTGCGTGCGCCCTCGCCTCCTTGACGTTCCGCCCGCCCACTTGCGCGGCACGCACGCACGCATACGCCTCGGTTTCTGCCTCGCGCTGCCGTGGGGGTGGCGGCGGGCTGTGATAAAGCTTGGGAGTTGCGTTGCTAAGCAACCCGATCCGGACCGTGGCGAGAGGAGCAGGTCGGTGTTAAACAGACAGTAACAGTCTCCATGGGGCGAGCCCAGGGGTGCTGCAGAGTCCGCTGGCAGGGTGGCTGTTTGTATCGGGGGCGGACCACAGGAGCCAATAAGAGGGCGCAATGTGATGGGGGTAGGGAGGCCAGTGGAGTGTGTGGTGGGGGAGCAGGGGGCATGGATTGGGTGGGGGTGAGGAAACCGGGGCCAATAAGGGGGGGGGGGTAAATGTGTGATGGGGAGAGCAGGAGCCATTGGGTGGGGGGAACCAGGGGCCAATAAGCGGGGCACTGTGTGATGGGGGGAAGCTGGGGCCAGTAAGGAGAGAGGTGCTGGGTGCATTCAGGAGCAGAGGCCATTGTAGGGAGAGATACTGAATGTTGGGGGGGGGAGGAGAGAGAGGGAAGCAAAGGCAGATGAGAAGGGAGGGCTGGTTCTGTGGGAGATGGGTGGGAGGGTTGATAAATGAGGGAGAAACATGCCATGAACCAGTGTGCAGTAGGGAGACTTGTGCAAAGATGAGCTACTGTTATGGGATCTGATGTGCTTAAGGATGAGAAGGAGAAAGAGGTGGGTAGGGCAGGGTGAATAGGTGGTTTCTGTAAAATGGGAATAGTCAGCAACATTTAATCTGCCTCATTCATGATTGTAATGTGGCCCATGGATGGAAGGTGCTATAGAAATACAAATTATTGATTATCATAAAAATCAGTGGTTAGAATAGCACCACACAAAGAATCTATAAAGAGCAATTTGAAGAGATCTTTTGGCAGTCTGGTGCACTTCTTTAAATTCTTAATTCAAATGTTGCAGTAGTTAAAATAGATTTTATTATATTTTTAAATTTTTAGTTCAAAACTTGTTTTTACAATAAGACACTCTTTAGATAGAGATAGTTTTAACATATTTTGAGAAGAGGAACAGAAGGTCAATTAATCTCTGAAAAAAGAATCCTTTTAGTCCACCAAACAGGTACAGGACTAATGGGGGCATTCCCTAAGACCGCCAACAAGCATAACTCAGCTTTAACCGGAAGAGACCACCTCCAGGAAGGAGTAGTTCATTGTCCATGAACTTTGCAATCCTTGGCCTCTTTACTGAGTCTGTCAAAAATGAGTGCCAGTTGTGATGGTAATTGTATATTGTCTCACTGAGCCAACTCCCATGCACGTTGATGGAAATCTTCCCATTTTTTTCCAAGGGGAGTTGGATTAGTTCTTGAGAGACTTGGCTTTTTAAGGGTCAATTATCAGGTTAAAAACCAGTCTTTTAATGTCCTTCCCTAAGTTATACGTAATACCTGAGACTGTTAATAGGGAACTTTTTGTTATGTCTAGTTTACTCTTCTTTTCTTATTCTGTTTTTGTTTGTTTATTTCTATCAAGCTTGAGCAATGGATGTAGGTGAGCCAGATCATTCACTTTTGTTTATAGTCAGCTTCTACATTTAGGTGCTCTTTGTACTTGGAAAATGCTGCAGTGTTTTGACTACAAACAAGGCAAGGGAGTGTCTGGAGTATTGGTTGTTTGTTTCAACAGTTTCCACTACAATTAAAACAAAAAATCTGTTTTTTTATTCATAAAAGATAGTTTTTCAAAGTCTAAATTATTGTGAAAATATGACCTGTGTCACTTTAAATATTGGGACAGCTTTCATTCCATAATAAAGAGCAGGGAAAATTATTATTACTCTGTAGTCTGTGCTTTAAATTCAACTCAGAAGCCAAGCAACAGCTCATGAATATGGCCCTAACAAATTCACGGCCATGAAAAACGTGTCATGGACCGTGAAATCTGGTCTTTTGAGTGCTTTTACCCTATACTATACAGATTTCACAGAAAGACTAGCGTTTCTCAAATTGGGGGTCCTGACCCAAAAGGGAGTTGCAGAGGGGTTGTAAGGTGATTTTAGGGGGGTCATGGTCTGGCCACCTTTACTTCTGTGCTACTGCCTTCAGAGCAGGGTGGCCGGAGAGTGATGGCTGCTAACTGAGGGTCCAGTTTACAGGCAGCAGTGCAGAAGTAAGGGTGACAATGCCATACCATGCCATCCTTACTTCTGCGCAACTGCTGGCAACAGCACTGCCTTCAGAGCTGGGCTCCTGGTGAGCAGCCACCACTCTTTGGCTGCCCAGCACCGCCACCAGCAGCAGCAGCGCAGAAGTAAGGGTAGCAGTACCGCAACCCCCCTCTAGAATAACTCTGCAACCCCCACCCCAACTCCTTTTTGGGCCAGGACCCCTACAATTACAACACTGTGAAATTTCAGATTTAAATAGCTGAAATCATGAAATTTACTATTTTAAAAAGCCTATGACCATGAAATTGACTAAAATGGACCATGAATTTGGTGGGGCCCTAATCATGAAGCACAGGTATAAAGTGCTCCTTGTGAAATTCTTCACTCATTAAAAAGATGGCTGTACTCTATACCATTTAAAGTTTCTGAATAAGTTTATGGGTGTGGTCTACAGAGAACAGTTCGTAATAGTCTAATTTTGAAGTGGCAAAGCCATGGATGACAACAGCAAGGTTTTCATTAGAAATGGTCTGCAAATGAAATTGGCTCTTTTGGCCAAGCATAAATAGAGGAAAGCAATCCTAGCTACTTATACTATCCAGAACGCCGTATTCTAAACTCTGGTAATGAAAGACGGATGCACAACCTCGTTGAAGGAGACTAGAACCACAATCATGTCTTCTGGTTATTTTCCCCAACCTACCATCATCACCTCCAAATGATCTGGACCAGAGGTCCCCAATGTGGTTAGATTGGTTAGTCATGCTGCAGTCTTTACCCATCACCGAGGTGCACAGCTGCTTCTATTATTGCAGCAGTCAAGATGGAGACAATTGTAATCATAATGTAGATTAATGATGCCAATTCTAAAATAACAGCCTCAGCATCAGGTGATTGTAGTGTGGTTTTTCATTCAAATCGATAACTCACTTCTATAATGTCCAAAATAAATAGGTTAATATAAATGGCAAAATCCAGTTAGTGATTCTATCACTATAACCTTGTCTTTTCTCATTCCAGTCCTTCTCTATTATTTGTTATCACTACTCATCTTGAAGGTTCTCTTCCCCCTTTTTTTGGTGATATTTGTCCTCCCCTTAATTTTTCCATAGGTAAAACAGCAGAAGTGGGTGAGTTGTTAGGAGGGATTTGAATGTGACAAGGGGCGTGGACTTGATGGACAGGTTTGTGGGGGCATTCGAAGCACAAAGGGCAGCGGGGAAGAAGGCACAGAAATGTTTGTGAGAGGAGGATACAAAAAGAGTATTGAAGGTGTAGTCATTAGTGAGCAGAAAGAGTGGTGGGGAGCAACACAGACACATCCAGGTCCAAGATTCAGGCAGGGGTTGTGCAACATACAGCCTTGAAGTAAGGACAAGAAGTTTTAATTTACGCACCAGCACAGCGAGTAAATTGTGTCTAGTTTTAGTCATGGATAAGAAGGTAGCCTTTGGCAACAGCATTTTAGATGGAATGGAACCATAAGGTTAGTATGAAGAAGACCAAGGGAGAAGGAAATTGCAGTAATGAAAGTGGGAGATGATATGTGTAGGAACAAGGAATTTGGAGATTTTTCTATTTGGGGTGGAAATGAAAGGCCAGATTTTAAATAGAGGAGGAAAAAGGCAACATGAGTTGACCATAGTCTTGATGTGGGGAGAGAAGGAAAGGGAGAAGTCAAAGACATCCCCAAATTAATTACAGGCCTTCATGACAGAGGATAGTGGCATTATTAATGGTAAAGAAGATGGGAAGTAGTGGAGGTTTGAGATGAAAGATTATGAGTTTAGACTTGGTCATGTTGAGTCTAAGATGACAATAAACAATTCAATATAGGCAGTCAGGGAGGCAGCAAAATATGATATCAAAGTAGAGTTGCCAACATACCCAAATACCCTTGCCCCGCCCACTGCCCCAAGGCACTGCCCCTTCTACGAGGCCCCACCCTGCTCACTCCATCCCCACTTCCTCCATCGCTTGCTCTCCCCCACCCTCACTCACTCTCACGGGGTAGGGGGTTGGGATATGGGAGTAGTTGTGGGCTCTGGGCTGGGGTCGAGGGGTTCAGAGTGTGGGAAGGGGCTCCAGACTGAGCTTGGGTCAGCGGGTTGGGGTGCAGGGAGGGGGTGTGGGGTGCAAGTTCTGTGGGAGGGAGTTTGGGTGCAGAAGGGGGCTCCAGGCTGGGGCAGGGGGTTGGGGTGCAGGAGGGGGTATGAGGTGCTGGCTCTGGGAGGGGGCTCAGGGCTAGGGTCAGGGGTTCAGGAGGGGGTTCAGGGCTGAGGCAGGAGGTTGGGGTGTGGGCTCTGGCCAGGCAGCACTTACCTCGGGCGGCTCCCAGTTGGCGGCGCAGTGGGGCTAAGGAAGGCTCCCTGCCTACCCTAGCCCCTCGCCGCTCCCGGAATCGGCCAGAATGTTCCTGTGGCCCCTGGGGGGGGAGGGGGCTCCGTGCACTGCCCCTACTTGCATGCACCCCCCACATCTCCCATTGGTCGCAGTTCCCAGCCAATGGGAGTTGTGGAGTTGGCACCGGGGGCAGGGTCAGCACACGGAGACCCCTGCGGGCCCCCGCCGCCCCAGGCCGCAGGGACGTGCTGGCTGCTCTGGGAGCGGCCTGGAGCCAGGGAAGGCAGGGAGCCTGCCTTAGCCCTGCTGCGCCGCTGGACTTTTATCAACCTAAAATCTTCCGGTTTGGCTTCAGTGGCCTCCGGGAGATAGAGCCTGATTCCAAGAGACTCCTGGCAAAACTGGGAGGGTTGGCAACCTATATCGAAGCACAGAGTACAGTTCAGGAGTGGAGAAATATACCTGAAAGTCATCATGCAAAGAGAGAATTCAACTCAGTGAGCAGCTGAATTCAGCCAAGGATAGGAACAAGAGGAGAAGGCTCAGAACAGAGACCTAAGGTACCCAAATTGGGAAGGGAGGAGGATGGTCGACCAACAGATGTTGAAGTAGTTTCTAGGAGAGAGAGAGAGAGAGTGTTGTGCTGATCTTACTGGGGTCCTGGTCCATGACTGGGGCTGTTAGGTGCTAACACAATACAAATAACCTAAAAAGCTGATATAAAGGCAGGTTTCCATGACAGATCCATTAGCTCCTATCCAAAAATATACTGTGTACAGCATATGCAGTACATTGGAGTTTGTGGGGAGAGAGGAGTCACAATCTACTTTTGGTTACATGGAGCTAATTTTTTCAGCACCATTGTGTGTTGTGCTAACCTCTTGTTGTCCACAGGTGTAGAAAATAGTGAACATTAATTTTGTACACTTCCACTGTATTGTCAATGAGAGTATTTCTGTTGATCAAAAACATTACTAATTCTTTTGTATTTTTGGTTTTAGAACTACAAGATATTACAAAATATGCTGTCAATTGTCCCTGTCAATGGAGCATCATTATTCTGTTTTGAAGACAAGTAGTTCATCAATGACTTCAGTTCACAATTCTAAAAACAATTACAAGGTGCACAGGTCATATTTTATGCTAAAATAAGTGAGCATTACAAAAAATTGAAATGAATATAGATAGGCCCATTTAGTGTGTTAAAAGTAATATATACTTACAAGTATTTGTTTATGTTCAGGGCTCTGAAAGGCAAGATTAGCCTTGGGATTGTTTTAATTATACTGAGGCAAAATATGTTTAGGCATGTCAAGCTTTTATAATTCATAATGAGTTTATTGCATATAATAATTATGGGTTCAGTAATTAAAAGTTAAAAATTACTGCTATTTTATTTAATATAAACCATAAATCAAACATTTCTTTTGACTTTATAAGTTAAGGTTAGGATGTGTCAGTAACATCAATCTTCAGTTTCAGATTATGGTAATTGTATATTAGTAAGACTTCAAGCATGGGAGTTGTAGATGTATAAAAAGCTTTGTCAAATTAAAACATCATTGGCTAAGGGCTGAACTTTTCTTTAACATACTGTACATAATGTACACGTATACAAGTCATTTATATTAATAATTATGGATTTTTTTTTAGGGCAGTTCCTCCAAACAAGATACTTTAGCTGTTACTGCAGTTGCTTTACAAGATCATATTTTACATAACCTTCAGCTCCAGGATCTTTCATTAGCAGATCCTTTTAAGTCAAAGTTAAGGAATAAAAAGAACATTTACAAACCTGTGAACAAAGAGATGGTCAGAGCAGTAGTAGATACTGGACTAAGAAAAAAGAGAATTCTCCACACAAAAAAGGAAGATCCAGAAAAAGAATATGTCCTTGATCCTAATCCTCCACAATTAACGTTAGGTAAACCATTATATTCTGATTTGTGTATTTTTGCATTTTATTTCAAACTTATTAGAATACAATAGCTAGATGTTCTTTTCAATACTATAACTTAGCATAAAACTGTATAATGCATAGAAAGTTTATAAAAATGTCAAAAATCAAGTACTTTGGGCCTTCAGGTAAACAGTGATCATTTAAACAATAAGGACAAACTGCCATCAAAAAAGTTGAATACTTCTCACATCTGTCATATATTTGAATTTATTTTCAGTGTGACAGACTAAGGGAGAAGGAAGAAACTAGTAAGTCTAGATGAAGAATTTTTTCATTCTAGAAACAGGCACTTTTTTCCCCACTGATTTTTTTATATATAATTTTTTTATATTAGTGGTTGAAAATACAATGCAATACAAGTATAAACAAAAACAGATGTTATTTTTAATGTTGGAATGATTACATAAGATTGTGTGCAACTGTCGCTTTATCTTTGTTTAGTAATGATGTTTACTCGTTTGGACATAAATTGTATGCTTTTGCTAACGTTTACCCACCCCTGCCCAAACTTAAAAATGTTTGTTTTTGCAATGATCCTGGGGCAAAACCCAGCAAGAATTAACACCTGTAGTTAAATACCTACTTCACATTAAGAAGCAAACATGCAACAAGAGAAGTCATAAAAGTGAAAGCTTGGAATCATGCCAAGTGAGCAAATTTCTTTTAAAAACCCTCAGTTACTAACTTTCCATAACTGTTCTTCAAGATGTGTTGCTCATGTCCATTACGGTGTAGGTGTGTGCTCACCCCGAGCACTACTGCCAGAAAGTTTTTCCCCCATGGTATCCATGGGGTCAGCTCTGGTGCCCCTGGGAGCCACACCTTCATAGCGTCTGTATATAGGGCCCTGCTGCCTCTCAGTTCCTTTTTGCTGGCTAACTTGGGCTTGGTCCACACTGGGACGGGGAATCGATCTAGGAAACGCAACTTCAGCTACGAGAATAGCGTAGCTGAAGTCAACATTTCCTAGATCGAATTAAGTTTACTTACTGTGGGTCCACGCGGCGCAGGCAAGCTCCCCCGTCGACAGAGCTTCCTCCTCTCGGCAAGCAGGAGTTCCATAGTCGACAGGGGAGCGCTTCTGGAATCGATTTATCGCGTCCAGATGAGACGCAATAAATCGATCCCAGAAGATCGATCTCTACCTGCCGAATCAGGCGGGTAGGGTGGACCTAGCCTTGGACAGAGGGGCAGGCGGAGCGGGCAGGGGGTGGAATGGACATGAGTAACACATCTTGAAGAACAACAGGATAGGAAGGATACGGAAGGATAGTAATTGTTTTTGCTTCTTTGAGTGCTTTCCTCATGTCCATTCCAATGTAGGTGACTCCCAAGCAGTTGCGCAGGTGGAGGGTTCGGAGTTAACTGGCACACTGATTGTAACACTGCTTGGCCGAAACCCGCATCATCTCTAGCTTGCTGGGTGATGACATAGTGGGATGTGAAAGGGTGAACTGACGACCATGTTGCCATTCTGTAAATGTCCTGAACCGGGACTTGCGCCGTGAACATTGCCACCGATGATTCAGCTCTTGTAGAATAGGCTGTCAATGGAGGAGCTGGGACCTTTGCTAGATCATAGCATGTTAAGATACAGTGATCCACAATGAAATTCTCTGGTCTGAGACTAGGCGGCCTTTCATTCTGTCTGCAATGGCTATGAAAAGCTGAGCGGATTTCTGAAAAGGTTTAGTCCTTTTTATGGAAAAGGTTAGTGTACACAACACCTAGCTGGAGTCTCTGTTCCTCCCTGTTAGTATGTGGCTTTGGATAGAAGACAGGTAGGAAAATATCCTGGTTACTATGGAATTGTGAGACCACCTTTGGCAGGAAGTCCGGGTGTGGCCGCAGCTGAACTTTGTCCTTGAAGACAACTGGTGGTTCTGAAGTAGGAGCTCTGATCTCTGAGACCCTTCTGGCAGAAGTAATTCCACCTTTCAGGACAGGTAGAGCAGAGAGAACGTTGCCAGCGGTTCAAATGGGGTCCTGTTAGATTCGCCAGCACCAAGTTGAGGTCCGTGGAGGGAGTGGCTGGTGTACCTAGGGGTATAGCCGTTCCAGTCCCTTAAGAAAACGACCAGAGATCGAGTTTGAGAAAACTAACTGCTCATTCACCCGTGGGTGAAAGGCCGAGATTGCAGCTAGATGGACCCTAATAGATTATACTGTTAGGCCTTGCTGTTTCAAGTGGGGTAGATAATCTGTAATGAAAGGCAGTGTTGACTGAGCAGGCAAAACCCCTTTTGCACTGAACAGATTGTGAATCTCTTCCACTTTGCCAGGTAAGTGGTTCTAGTGGAGAGTTTCCTGCTCCCAAAAAGCACCTTGCAAACAGGCCCAGAGTGTGCCAGTTCTGCAGGATTCAGCCATGGAGCTGGGGTCCTGAAAGATCAGGCCCATAGACAGCTGGGGTCCTGAAAGATCAGGCCCAGGAACGGGGGCAGTCTGATTGGCGTGTCCACCAAGAGATCTAGGAGGGTGGTGAATCAGTGCTGACATGGCCAGGCTGGGTTATCAGGATAAGATGCGTCCTGTCCCTTCTGACCTTCAGCAGAACTCTGTATAAGAGGCATGGGAGGGAATGCATACGAGGCATGGGAGGGAACGCATACAAGAGATGGTCCGTCCAAAGGAGGAGAAAGGTGTCTGCGAGTGAGCCAAGGCTGTGGCTAGGAAGGAGCAGAACTGAAGACACTTCCTGTTGTGTTTTGTCACAAACAGGTCTACCTGGGGAGTTCCCCATCTCTGGGAAATGGTGCTTACAATGTCTGGGCGAATGGACCATTCGTGATGGTTGGGAAAGGATCTGCTGAGGTGATCCACTAACTCGTTCTGTGAGCCTGGAAAGTAGGAGGCTTCAAGGTGAATTGAGTGGGCTATGCTGAATTCCCACAGTTGAAGAGCTTCCTGGCATAGGGGAGAGGATTGTGCTCTGCCCTGCTGTTGTGTTGTCTGTAAGGACTGACATGCCCGTTGCCCTCCAAGTGGGTTTGGAACAGCTGGCAGGTGAGGTGCACTGCCCTCAGTTCCCTCACATTGATGTGTAACGAGAGCTCCTTCGGGGACCAGAGGCCCTGAGTTCTGTGGGTCCCCAAATGACCCCCCCCCCATCCCATTTCTGTAATGAGACATTGACAGCTGGGGCCTTGAGAATGGGATTCCTGCACATACTGACTGCGGGTCCAGCCACCACAGTAGGGTTGCAATCACGGACAGAGGAAGCGATACCACCCTGTCGAAATGGTGTCAGCCCAGTGCATATGTTGACGCCAGCCAAGGCTGGAGAGATCTGAGCCGTAGTCTCGCATGTTATACCACATAGATGGATGACGCTATGTGCCCTAGGAGCTTTAAGCAGCTTCTTGATGTGGTGATGGGGTGATTCCTCAGGTTCTCTCTGAGTGCCCCCAAGTGCTCTGAACAAGTTTTCTGGGAGAAAGGACTAGGTCGAGTTGAGAACTGTTCCAATTCTATCCTTTGAACTGGGGAAAAGGTAGATTTCTGCATATTTATCAACTGCTCCAGGTCCTGGATGGTTGACTGTATTATCTCCATGTCTGCCTCCATCTGGGCCTTGGATCGACTTTTGATCAGCCAGTTGTCGAGGTAGGGGTAGACCTGAACCCCTTTTCTCCTCAGGAAGGCTGCGATGACTGCCAGGCACTTCGTGAACACTTGAGGGGCTACTGACAGGCTGAATGGCAGCACAATAAAATTGATAGCGTATGTGGTTCACAACAAATCATAGGAACCTTTTGTGTCCCTGAAATTTCGCAATATTAAAATATGCATCCTTCAAGTCGAGGGCAGTACACCAGTCCTCTAGATCCAGAGAAGGGACAATGGAGACCAAGGAGACCACGTGGAAGGTCAGTTTCTTCATGAATCTGTTGAGGTTTCGTAGGTCCAAGATCGGTCTGATTAGGGCCCACAATCCCTTCACTCCGGTGGAACCTTTTCCACTGCTCCTGCCCTTAGGCATTGTTCAAAGGCAGAGCCATCCGCAATAGCCCTGAAGCTGCTAAAATGTCCACCTGGGCGTAGGATGATTCAGAGATCTCCTCGACCTGGATACCCAGGTTCTGGGCTACCCTCCTGATGAGCTCCTAGTGCGCCCTATAGTTGTCCTGGGGAAGACTCTATACTTGTTCCAGCCACCTTCTCTTTGGGAGAGGAGGAAGAGGAATGGGGCATGGAGCCTTGTTCCTTGCCCTCTGCGCCAGATGGGTCCCGTGGGGCTGGGTCTTGCAGTTCAGTACTGGGCTTGGCACCGAGGCCTAGTCCCTGCTCCAAAGGAGGTGGTGGGGGAGCTCTCAACCCCAATGGAGTAGGACCTCCTGGAATGTGGACCCTGGAATGGCTGAAAAATCCAGGGATTCCAAAATGGCCACTGTAGTGGCATCTGCCACTGTGCTGGTGACCAGGTCATTGGTGAAATGCCCTGGCTCATCTCAGTCATTGGGCATTGTTGGTTGGAGTGGTGCCTGCTCCTGTGGGAGACGTATGACTCCACCTCAGAATCCAACTCCGAGGAGTCAGTTCTCAGCAACCAGGGTGAGGCGATGCCAACTGGTATCGGTGAATGGTGCCGTGAGGAAGGAGATGGACACTGCACCTTTTGATGGCACCTGGGGTCTCGGTGATGTAAAGATCCTCGCCTCCGGTGCCGCCGCAGTCAGCTCCTGAGTGGCAAGGGATGGCGGTACCAGGAGTGACAGCAACTCTCTCGCTGCCTCTAATGCCTCCGGCATGGACGGAAGCACCAGGGCTGTCAAACTCTGGTGGCTCTTCCTTGGTGGAGAGTCCAACGGCGCCCAGAGTCAACGGTACCGTGTGCACCGGTGGCATTTCCGAGTGGCCCAACATAGATCACACTCTGTCAGTAACTCTATGCCCTGCAGACCTTGGGTTTGGGGATCTCCCCAATCAGTTTTTCTCTGCTTCTTTCTTGGCACTGGCAATAG